TGTCAAGATCTTGAGTATGTTTGAGAGCAATATCTCTCGTTGAGAAGCGAGGTTTTCCATATAATTCTTGCAGGAGATTGGTCATGTCAGTGAAGTTCAAGCCGTATCTGATTTGGTTTTTCTCAATATAGTCCTTGGCCGGTAAGAGTTGAGAGCAGATTTCTTCTACCCCAGATATACCTGGCTTTATTGGAGCATTGCTTGGAGCAGGGAATTCATTGTCTGTTGTAAACTCAGTATTTTTTTTTCTTGGTGGCTTGGGTATACTTTCATCTGATTAAAAAGAGACCGTTAGGGGTCTTTTTGAAGGTTTGAGTGGCAGAGAAACAAATTGGAGTGACATTTTATCTTGAGTTAGGCTGAGAGAATTTGGAGTGGGCACAGCTGTGAAGTTTGGATTACCTATTATTTTAGAGTTTGAGGCAACGTTTAAAGTAGGTATCTCCTCGTTATTGCAATGAGTTTCTGGCGTGTACTGAGAAGGAGTGATATTAGAGGTACTCATTATTTCTTCTGGCAGGTTGTTGTTGCTGGAGTGTCTTGTATCATCATTTTGAGATATTCCTTCAGTACAGTGTTTAGCCAAGTGGCCCTCATGGGAACAGATGGCACAAGTCATTTTGGAAGATGAAAGGTAGATATTGTATGAAATACCTTCGAATGCAATCTGAATACTTGGCGGGATACTACTTTCTGAATCTGGATGGATATACACTTGTCTTCTAAAGCTTACCCAGTGAGTGAATCCTGGTATATTTAGTCCTGATTTGACGTGTTGTATACTAGAAACGGTTTTTATTTTCAATTTTTGAAGTTCTCTTTCGATGATTGAATTCGGAATGCACAGTTGGACGTTTGAGATGATTATTCTGACAGACTTAGTGTTTAAAGGCCTCAGTGGTAGAATTGAGTTGCCCACAGTAATCTTAGTTTCCTTTGCTACCAACTCAGAAGCGAGGATTTTGTTGTTTAGATAGAAACAAATTCTGTTTTGGGCACTGCGATAAAATCCGAGAACATTTGCTGGATTAACGACCCTAGCCATAGCGAGGGCGTAATCTCTAATCGGGTGTCCATCAATTGAATCAACTACGATGGCTTGGTCTCTGGTGGGATATTGGGATCGTTGTAAGATTGAACTAAACATTTGAGAATTTTCTTCGGTAGTAGACATTTTAGGTTATAATGTGTTTGTCCCCGTGATAAGAGGCACAAGCACAAGTAATTCAGAGTAAAAACTCTAGAGCTCTTTCACAGGACCAACGTCCCTCAGGGGAGAGGGTGCACGCCCCGCTCCGGATGCCCGGGGGCCGCAATGTCGCTGAATTAGCCAGGAACTCGTGAAACGCGTGCAACTCGTATCCCATACGTACCAACACTCCCAATATATATAACTATCACTGCATTTAAAACATATAATGCATATGGGTAAATAGTTATAATCATGTTTCTAAATTTCCTCAAACGGTCTTGATAAACTTAATTCAGCCTAGTTTTTTTTTTATTTCTTGATACCTATTATCTTAAGATGTAATTTTTTATTTGTTTTTTAGTTCTTTTATTCGTATCTTTTTCAATAAATTAATTTAATGTAGTTTTAGAATGTTTTATAATAGACAATCTCAAAAATCAGAAAATGTTTTATGAACAAAGCATTTTGATGAGGATTGACAAACCAGGTATTTATGTGGGCGTGAGATAAATAGTCAGGCAAGTATAAAAATCAACTTGTAAATATTTTCTATTTGTTCAGAATTGCCTTAGTAGGTTTCGATAGTACAATAATTTTTTTGTTCTCGGATACCTACCACCGCTTCAAAACAAAATTTTTATTTTATTTTATTTTATTGCTTGATACATATCGCCACTGTATTTTTAAACTCTCTTCTCTCACAAGCCCATGTCTCGTCATTGACTTCAGTGTTAATCTGGTCTCTGATGTTGTGGGAGGAAAAGATTAAATCGAGATTGGATTTGTAATTTCTGCGAACGTCAATNTAATCTTATTATAAATAGATAATAAAAATTTGACTTGGTCTGTGCTATTTGCGGCAAGTTTATAATCTATTTTTAACCCAAAAGTCTACCTCCAAAAATATAGATATTCACATGGTTTAATAAAATCGACCATATGGCATTACTTAGTAGTAATTTAATTACTACACGTACACATAACTTCACGTACATCTTACACCGTGCTCTTTTTACGAGAATGATAAAATCAGAGGCTGTAAAGTTACGTAGGTCGTGGTGGTAACGCCGCGAATGCCAACCAATGACCAATGTGCCAACTGCTAATATGTTAGCGCAGAGGCCCGAAGCCCGAAGGTGGTCAAAAATCTAAACGAGTCGCATCTCTCGCCAGAATTGAGAAAACCCTGCAGCTGATGATTCGTGCCAATCCCAAATGTTTTCCCTTAAGTATTTCATTCTGGTAAGAGTAATGCCGATATTATTTTTTATGCCAAAGAATCTGAAAGCTCGTTGAATTTTATACAAAAAGTACACGTACAAAGTTGACCATATCGTGGGATTCCCTCGACCGATTGTAATTTTGCCTACACTCTTTTTCATATTGCTGGATAAATATATATAACTTTTTTTTTTTTTTTTTTTTTTCATAAAATGTATCTCNTCGGATACCTACCACCGCTTCAAAACAAAATTTTTATTTTATTTTATTTTATTGCTTGATACATATCGCCACTGTATTTTTAAACTCTCTTCTCTCACAAGCATCCTCGAGATGTTTAATAAAATTAAATACGATAATGAGATATTTTTTTACCATAAAGTTTATTGTTAATAGGCGAAGTAAATGCAGTAAAAGCGCTCAAAAAAACGACAGCCCATAAGCTTGTAGGTAAAAATTGTAAACAAATTTTCATCCAATTCTTATTGTCAATTCTGTAACCAATAGAACTCCCTTAATGCAAAAACAACGGTTTCCGTTAAAAATTGACCAATAGAAATGAACAGACAGAAAAAAGAGACCCGCTTTGGCTGCAGCTATATTTTTTTACCTTAAATTTCATGATGGTGGATTGGAGGGCGGAACGTACAGGGAGGCGAGCCCCTATTAGTTTAAAAATAATGAAATACTTTGATTGTAATAACAGTTTATTTTCAAATTTATGCAAAATACTCTGTATCTAGAGAACATTTTGTTGACGAAGACAATGCTTTCAACTATTACTTCACGAATGTTAAATAGATAATAAGAAACATTTATTTAACGAGTTATGATCAGCGTCAAAGTTTTGCATTACAACCAGCAGGCAGAGTCACTAAAAATTATATAATTATTATTTTTATGAACTAGTATGTAGTCTAGGGCTTGATTTATTGCAGCGCACTCTGCTGAAAAGATGGAAGACATTTTGTTTAGACATTGAGAGTTTTGAAATTTTGTAAGTGGGCAGTAGCAAGCAGAGCCGACACTAGGAGCGTCTTTTACTTTGCTGCCATCGGTGAAAAGAGCTATACTGTTGTTTGCGTTAATATAATTTAGTAGTGTTTCGTCGGGGGATGATGATGATTTTAATATCGCGCCAAAGTCAGTATCTATTGGGAGAGTTGAGAAAACTGTAGTGAAGTCATAGCAGTAGGTGTTGAAGTTATGATTAGAGTGAAGTGCCATATTAGAGCTTAAAAGAGAATTAATGCATTCGAAAGATAGCCTGTTTATTTTAGAATTGTTTTTATGAATATTGTAAAATTGTGAAATTATAGTGGAAGATTCAGAGTTAAAATTGCTGAAGGTTTTGACAAGAAAACAAAGACATAAGAATTTGGTTCGCTCTTCAATTGATACTGACTTGGACTCAGCGAGAAGTATATTTGTTGGAGTGCTATTTCGAAATCCTAAGGCTTATCTGATTGCGGCATATTGAATCTTTTCTAATTTTTTTTTGTGACCGAGTTCTTGGGGTAGTATACGAAACAGCCGTAGTCTATACGAGAGCGTATAAA